GCATAAATTTGCATATAATAAACCCCTTTTAAATTCTAAATGGCTGCCATTTGTTCATGTTTAAAACTATATCTCTAGATCTGAGACACATAGAAAGCTTAACGAAGTGTCTTTACCGATGTTTTGGGGGTCAAGGAACAAGATAATAGCATTATCAGCAGCTTACAACTACTCCTTGACTCCTAATTTGCATAAATTTGCATACAATTAACCCTTTTAAAAAGTCAAATTGGCTGCCATAATGTTGCATGTTTAAAACTATTTCTCCTCTGATACTTATAGAAAGTGATTTTAGTGCCCTTATTCATGTTTAGGGGTCAAGGAACATATGAGCAATGATTATATAATTAAGGTGCATGTATGATTAAATATTTTCTTTAGAGTAGCTCACAATATACGTCACGGTGTTGCCAATTTATGTTTGCTTGATTACAACTTCAAAAATTCATAATTTTCTTTAATATTTCTTCTTGTATTTTGCTCGAACCTTCACTGATCTGTTTCTTTAATTTTTCTGCTTCTGTTAAAACCAACTTCTAATCAGGGTGGACTTCTCCTTAAAGTTTGGTGTTTTAACCATTTTCTTTGGTTAACAAACTTGACTGTACCATTTACTTCAATTCAATTTGTTTATTCGTCCATGTAAAAATATAAAAATAAGCTTCGGTCATATAGCGTGATGGATTTAAAGCAAAAACATACACAATGATATGAGAATCACTGTGTCAATTCAAGTTGCAAATTCCATATTCCACAGCTTACTAATAGGGTGTATTGCACAAATGAATACATGAATTTTTGAATATCATTACTAATTAAAAAAATGCAGTTATACTGATTTCATAGTTACAATATTACAATAGGCTTACTTAGAATTATTGGATAAATTAAAATTCTATAGTGTAATTGCGAATATTAAAAAAAAATAGAATTAAAGCTATATATCTTATTTCGCCTAAATGATGAGATTTCAGAATAAACTTTGGAATACCGTTGTTAAGTACAAACTGCAGCTACACTGAATAGACTATTACAATTTGAATAATATTCAATTAATTAGATCAATAATACTAACAATAACTGTATTTATAGATTAATTAACAATTATTACATTATTGCATTGAACACAGAAAAAATTGCATTTATTAAGATATTTAAATAACATAAAACATTGAAAATTTTACATTTAGGCAAGAGAATGGCAAAGAAACACCAGAACTCTGAATAATCTGACTCATAGCTAAAAATGCCTATTATTGAGAATATTTACTTGGTGTCTTACCCGAGTCCTTATGGTAATATAACTTGATGATAGAATTATTAGCAAATTAAACTATCACAGAGTCTACATTATATTTACAAATGGTTTGCATATAATTTATAAATAGTTACATATTTACATATATTTGCATAATTGCATAAAATTTAATATTATTAGGTTCATTAAATTTAAATAGGCTTCCACAAAGCGTAATTAATTCTTTATTTTTTTGTTCTGAGAATGATTTTTTTTTTTTAATGGAACTGAGCAGATTCCCTGTTTCCATGGTTAACCCTAATAAGGCCGGGCTATTTGAAGTCTTAGTAGGGCCGGGGGGGGGCATTATGGCCCCCCCTCAAGATCTCGACCGCAAAGCGGCCGATCGCCGCGAAAATTTGCACGCATGTCAAGTGAAGTGTAAAGAATAATATGATCATTTCAATTTTTTGAAAAATTCACTCATTTGCATATTTATGGTAATTTATGCAAATAAAGTCATAAAAATCACATTTTTACCAATAAATCATATATTATTCATATTTAAGCATTCTTTTTCACTAGATATATTCATTAGACCATTCTGAATAATAATAAGACAAAAAATTTGGAAGAGCCAGCTTATTTCTTATGTTATCCCTTGTTTTGATAATTTCTTATGTATTTCATTGTTTTTTTAACTTATGTATTTCATTGTTTTTGTTGTTTTATTTTATCTTTTACTACAATTCAACTATTTTGACTCCCAAAACAACCACCTAAGCTTTAAACAAGACCCAATAACCCATGTTTGATCTGCTTTTAGGAAAAATGACTTTGCCATACGTTTTGTACACAAATCACGAAAATGAGCGATTTTCAGGCTGACATGCGAAGACGAAAGGTCACGTGACCTTGTAACCGTAGGTCCGATTTTCAAAAAAATTATTTTAAAAGTTGCACAAGACTCGAAAGAAAAAAGTCAGCGAGCGGCGGGGCGCCATCCATATGCGTTCCCGAGCAATCGAAAAAATTGTGGAGGGGGGGGGCCATTATTAGGGTTAAGGAACCGTTAGTATTGGGACCTCCATAGCCAGTCGCCATAAAATAGGATAAGATTACATAAATTACTATAAGATTAAACATCTGAGAAAAAATAGTTATCATTCTACTTTTCCTGCTGTTTTACCGGGGATGCTTTTTCAAATATCATCAACATTCCAAAACTTTGTTTTAAACTTAAGCAAAATGACAAGGCTCACCTAGTGTTCAGAAAATTAGAGTGGTTCTTAACAGTTTGCTAGGAATGCTTTCTGATTAAAATAAGGACCTATGCATTTATACCAAATACATCTTGATGACACTAATTTGCAAAGTAGAAAGAAAATCATGAAAACAAATGAGCATCCATATTAGAATATGATGCATTTATCAATCATTGGATGTAAGGTGCAAATGTTTATGGTTGATTATCTGGCAACCTGTGGATAAAAATAAGAATTAGAAGTTGTGCTTCTTAATGTCTCAACCATTTTGCAAAAGTATCTACCATTTACATTTATATTTCTTCCAAGAAAAGTGCTGCTTCAAGGCCTTGTTGCCATTCAACGTCAACAAGACCAAAGCGGATGCGATACAGCATTGCAAGACGGCTTTGCAGACGTCCACTAACTAGCGAGGGCCATTTTAGTTTGTTCGTCATAGATGTAACACTGCTGGTACGATCGTAGTCGCCACAGACGTACCGCGCACTCCTGCGTTGAACAATTTCGACCTTGTTGATGTTTCTTTGGGTGTGTGGATCCCATGCTGTTGCAGCATACTCCACTATGGGCCTAGTGTATGTGACATACGTAGCCTCCTTGATCTTTTGGTTGCAGTGTCGAAAGTTACGGCGCAGGAAGGCACAGACAGAGTTTGCCTTCTTGACTGTGGCATCTACATGGGCATTGAAGTTCAGCTTCTGATCAATGTGGACCCCGAGGTACTTGGCTGAGTTGACCTGCTCCAGCTGATGACCATGGATGGTGTATTGGCCTAGGAGTGGCTTCTTCGTGTTGGTCACTCGCAAGACCTGGCATTTGGAGGGATGGAATTCCATCTTCCACGTCTTCTCCAAGTCCTGGGTCGGTCTGATTGGTTTGTAGAGCAGACAGTCGTCAGCATAAAGGCATGTGGTTGAATGCCTAATGCAATCTTGTAAGTCATTGATGTAGATCAAAAAATAACAATGGACCTAGGACGCTACCCTGGGGTACGACAGATGTGACCTTGGCTTCAGAGCTGAGTTGGCCCTCCAGTATGACTTGTTGGGTACGGCCAGTCAGGAAGTTCTCGATCCACTGAAGAGTAAGGCCGTGTATACCACAATGTTTGGCTTTGAGAAGGAGTCGTTGGTGAGAGACCTTGTCAAAGGCCTTAGCAAAGTCTAGTAGGATTACATCATACTGACCCTTGTCTTCCAGTCCTCTAGCAAGGTCTTGGATGGTGAGGATCAGTTGTGTCTCACAAGAACATCGCTTCCGAAAGCCATGCTGATTTTCAGATAGAATGTCATGATGGATGAGGTGGTGGATAACTGCACAGTGAACAACATGCTCACACAGCTTGCATATGATCGCAGTCAGTGAAATCGGCCTGTAGTTAACCGGGGATGACTTGCAGCCCTTCTTGTAGATGGGAACTACAAGTGCCTTCTTCCACATCGATGGAACGCATCCTTGATGAAGGGAGGCTTGGAAAAGCAGGGTGATCGCAGGGGAAATCCGATCGGCGGTTTCCTTCAACATTCTGGCAGAGATTCCGTCTGGCCCTGTTGCTGTTACTCGACAAAATCAAAATTGTTTTTGCAACCACTGGATTATTTATTTGGAATGGACCAGTCATCTGCCAGAGCACAACAATTGTGTTGGATTCAAAGAATAAAAGAAGCCGATAAACAAGGATGGTTTCAAATTCTTCAATTTTATCTTTAAAAGAACAGTGATTGTTCCTGTTTAACTGTAACTACTACTAGGTCGAGCGTACTCGCACTGATTTGACAAGCTTTTTCCATTCAGTTCTATTCTCCATGATCTTTGGAGCTCCTGTCTTGGTAGACAGGTGTCTTTTGCTAACTGGTCAATGTAAGTCATTGCTGGGCGCCCTCTGGTGCGTTTGCCCCTTGAGGGCTCCCAGAAGAGCATTTGTGAAATGATTTCACTCTTGCTCCTCCAGCAGTGCCCACTGAAACGAAGGCGACGGTCTCTCAGTCTGGCTTTTGCTTTTCGGATAATCAGGTCTTGTTTTGACTGATCAACCCACGAGCCAAGGTACTGAAAGTCTTGGACCTGCTTCAGCTTTGTCCTGTCAGCAGTACAGATATCGCCTTCACGAAGGTTGTACATCATGAATTCTGTCTTAGTACTGTTTATTTGACTCCACTTGTTCTAGGAGCTTCTGTGCCTTTTCCAGATTGTCTAAGATTAGTGCAATATCATCAGCAAAGTCGGTATCAGTGATCATTTCAGCAGGATATCTGCTACTTTTCCTTTCCTGTAGGGTGAAGCCTAGATCCTCGAACCCTTCAGTAGCCATTCTTAGAGCATAATCCAATGCTATGATGAATAGGTATGGTGCTAAGGTATCTCCTTGAAGCACTCCTGCTAATATGGTAAATGAGTCAGTCTCTCCATCTGGTGAACGTACTTGAGCTGTGGTATCTTTGTACATCACTCCTACTGCTGTAACTATTGTGTGTGGTATTCCATAGGCTCTTAAGATGTCATGTCATGTTCAGCAAGTACTGCCCATTTCTGTTAGTCCTATTGCCAAAAGTAAAACCCTTGCTGTCTATAGAGCTAACCTGGGCATTCATGTTCCCACAGATAATCTTAATGTTGTGCTGAGGGATCTTTTTAATGACATCAGACAGTAAGCTATAGAAATTTACAGCTTCATTGTCTGGGGAGCAGTTGGTTGGACTGTAGCAGGTGATAACAGTGGGAGGTGGATTTCCACTGAACTTGACTAGAAGTATACGAGGACTCGCCTTTTTAAGGTATTCCAGTGACTTATAAGCAAAAGGACTCATCAATATATCGACCCCTCCAACTGTGCTATTCACTGTATTCTTGGTGCCTGAAGACATAGCTAGTACCCAACCTTTGCCCATGTCCTTCATCTCAATATGCACATTTTCATGGTAGATATGATGTATCTGTATACACAGAATGTCTACTCTCTTTTCTTCAGCTAGTGCTGTTAGTTCTCCCATCTTAATTCTCCTTTGACTTGAGGGACCGGACATTAAAACTCGATATTAGAGTTGCTGCTTTGCAATCTATGATTTTAATTCTAGATTTGGATTTGAAACCAGTATTCAATTTTCCGACCTCAGCCTGGTTTGTCACTGGGGGATGCGGTTCTTGTTCACCCGGGCGACAACCGGGCCGGTATCCGTTTTTGTTGGTTTGTCTCATCATGTCAGTGTTTCTTAGCTTGCTAATATGAATACATTCAAAGTATAGCTACAATGGAGGCTCGCAACACCTTCCAATGCCATCTATGCAAGGCAGGGGAGATGGATTTTCCCTGAGCTAATTAAAAAGGGGTTACCTATATAAAGAGCCCCATACCGGATAACTATGGTTATAAAATGTTAGACAAAAACATTCCTAAGTTCTACCGAGCTATTTTCTTTGACCCCCTAAACATGAATAAGGGCACTAAAATCAACTTTCTATAACTATTAGATGAGAAATAGTTATAAACATGCAACTTGGCAGCCATTTTGACTTTTAAAAGGGTTAATTATATGCAAATTTATGCAAATTAAGAGTCAAGGAGTAGTTCTAAGCTGCTTATAATGCTATTATCTTGTTCCTTGACCCCCAAAACTTCGGTAAAGACACTTCGTTTAGCTTTCTATGTGTCTCAGATCTAGAGATATAGTTTTAAAAATGAAAAAATGGCAGCCATTTAGAATTTAAAAGGGGTTAACTATATGCAAATTTATGCAAATTAGGAGTCAAGGAGTAGTTCTAAGCTGCTAATAATGCTATAATTATGTTCCTTGACCCCCTAAATATGGAAAAGGGCACTAAAATCAACTTTCTATAAGTATGAGATGAGAAAAAGTTTTAAACATGCAACATGGCAGCCATTTAGAATTTAAAAGGGGTTTTTATATGCAAATTTATGCAAATAAGGACTCAAGGAGTAGTTGTAAGCTGCTAATAATGCTATAATCATGTTCCTTGACCCCCAAAACTTCGGTAAAGACACTTCGTTTAGCTTTCTATGTGTCTCAGATCTAGAGATATAGTTTTAAAAATGAAAAAATGGCAGCCATTAAGAATTTAAAAGGGGTTAACTATATGCAAATTTATGCAAATTAGGAGTCAAGGAGTAGTTCTAAGCTGCTAATAATGCTATAATTATGTTCCTTGACCCCCTAAATATGGAAAAGGGCACTAAAATCAACTTTCTATAAGTATGAGATGAGAAAAAGTTTTAAACATGCAACATGGCAGCCATTTTGACTTTAAAAAGGGTTAATTATATGCAAATTTATGCAAATTAGGAGTCAAGGAGTAGTTGTAAGCTGCTTATAATGCTATTATCTTGTTCCTTGACCCCCAAAACTTCGGTAAAGACACTTCGTTTAGCTTTCTATGTGTCTCAGATCTAGAGATATAGTTTTAAAAATGAAAAAATGGCAGCCATTAAGAATTTAAAAGGGGTTAACTATATGCAAATTTATGCAAATTAGGAGTCAAGGAGTAGTTCTAAGCTGCTGATAATGCTATAATTATGTTCCTTGACCCCCTAAACATGGATAAGGGCACTAAAATCAACTTTCTATAAGTATCAGATGAGAAATAGTTTTAAACATGCAACATGGCAGCCATTTTGACTTTTAAAAGGGTTAATTATATGCAAATTTATGCAAATTAAGAGTGAAAGAGTAGTTGTAAGCTGCTTATAATGCTATAATCATGTTCCTTGACCCCCAAAACATTGGTAAAGACACTACGTTTAGCTTTCTATGTGTATCAGATCTAGAGATATAGGCTAAAATAGGTTTTGTGTGTCTACCAGGGTCTGACATGGCGGCCATTTTGAATTTATGCAAATTAGGCACTGATCCACCACTTCAATTTTTGTCAACTTTGAGTATGTTGTTTTTATGGCTATTCCAGATTATATGCAAGTGGAATCATTTCTGTTGCAATTAGTTCTTGGTTTTTTCCTATTTTGACTGTACTAAATGCAATACATGCCATTAGATGAATCCTGACCCCCATATCCCTTTGAAAGGGGCGTAGGGGCAAATATTGTGATAATTTGAATAAACACCAATTTCAGGCCGAAATGGTAAGGGCCGGGGTGGTTCAGCATTTTGGAGGAAAATATTATATTTTTTGATTACTTTACTTTGGTTTACTTTGGTGTCGAGGCTTGAAGCTTCAGCTTATGTGCCCCTCTTTACTGCATTGGATTCGCGTTGGTATGGGTGGTATTTCAGCGGATGGTGCTTCCAATGATTTTCAAGTTCTGACTTGAATTTATTGATTGATGAGGCATTTATGGCAATTTCAGGAAGGTTATTCCAGTTATTAATGCTCCGCACTGAAAATGACATCTGCCTCATCTTAGATTTGCAGCGGGGCTTCCTTATTTTGAGCCTGTGTCCCCTTGTTCTGGATTCTTTGATGATTTCAAATATGTCATTCCTCTCTACTGCCTCCAATCCATGCATGATCTTGTATATTTGAAGAAGATCAGCCCTCTGTCTACGGTACTCTAGTGATGGTAGTTTGAGTGTCTTAAGTCTTTCTTCATAGCTTAGATGCTTCACATCTGGGATGAGTCGCGTAGCACGTTGCTGGACCTTTTCCAATAGATCTTGATCCTTTAAGTACGTTGGTCTCCAGACTGCATTGCAGTATTCAAGTGTTGGGCGTACTATGGTCTTATATAGTTGTAGCATGCCACTGGATCCAAGGGATGTAAAAGAACGTTTGATGATTCCTAACTTGATATTGGCTCTTTTGGAGACATCAGCTACATGGGCGCAGAAAGACAGATCTGAGTCAAATAATACCCCCAGATCCTTTTCTCCCATTCCTTCGTCCATTGTCACATCTTTTCTCCCATCGGGGCATTCCATAGTGTAGGCGAACTTCTTGTTCCTCTTTCCATAATGTATCACTTTGCACTTTCCTTCGTTGAACGGTAGCTGCCAGTTACTTGACCATTGAACGATGTCATTTAAGTCCTGTTGGAGTAGCTTAGCATCCTCTTCATTGTCTACAACCCTGTACAGTTTTGTGTCATCAGCAAATAGTTTCGCTGTAGAATTCTGGGCAACAGATGGTAGGTCATTAATGTAGATATTGAACAAGACCGGACCGAGGACACTTCCTTGTGGTATGCCGCTTGTTACCTCGCAGGTTTCTGATTTCTTCCCATTCACCACCACTCGTTGACTGCGGCCTGTCAGATACTTCTCAATCCACTTGATAAGACATCCTTCCATTCCATTTGCTCTAACTTTGGTGAGTAGACGCTGGTGAGGCACACTGTCAAATGCTTTACGGAAATCCAAGTACAGGCAGTCTATTCCATGGCCATCATCAAGAATCTTGGTCCACTGCTCAAGGACAACAGTCAATTGGGTTGAACAGGATCTGCCACTGCGAAAGCCGTACTGGTCGTCAGTGAATAGGTGATTGAGTTCTAGGTGTCGGATCATCTTGCTTCGAATAATCTTCTCCATTGTTTTGCAGATAATTGATGTTAGACTCACCGGCCTATAGTTCCCTGGTAGGCTCTTTTTTCCCTTCTTAAAGATTTGGACCACCGTAGCTTCTTTCCATGTTGCTGGAACGCTGCCTTCTTTGAATAGTCGGGAAAAGATCATTTGAAGAGGTTTTCCAATCTGGTGACACGTTTCTTTCAAAACTCTGGAGTGTAGACCGTCTGGGCCTGGTGATTTGTCTATGTCCAATTTAGATAAAATGTCCACAATTACTTCCTCTGTAAACTCGACATCGTTTAAGGATGATTCTACTTGGTAAGGATCCATGTCTGGAGCATTCACCAAGTCCTCTTCTGTAAAAATACTTCCAAAAAATGAATTGAGGGCATCTGCTTTCTCTTGATCATTCCTCACCCAGTTACCATCTTCCATCTGCAGGTCAGGAATTCCTGTTCGAGTCTTGGTTTTACTCTTTACGTATTTCCAGAAGGACTTGGCATTGGTTTTTACCTCATTTGCAATTTTACTCTCAAAGTCACTTTTGGCATTCCTTGTCATGAGTGTTGCGGCATTTCTTTTGTCAACATATGAGCTCCAATTTGTATCAGTCTTTCTCTTGCTGTATTTGTTCCATGCCTTATGTTTGTCTCGTACTGCCTCTTTAGCGCTGCTGGTCATCCATTCTGGTCTTTTCTTTTGAGATACTCTTCTGATTGGTATGAGGTCCTCTATACAACAAATCATTGTCTTTTCAAAATGATTCCATGCCTCTAAACCAGAAAGGTTATTTAGGTCCGTTTCCCAGTCAATCATTTCTAGTCTTCTCCTCATTTCATCATAGTCTCCGTGATAGTAGCTTCTCTTTTTGCTGTTCTCCTTCTCTGAAGAACTTGCATTTACCTCAAGTCTGAATTGGAGTACTACATGATCACTCTTACCAAGGGTGGGTTGGTGTCAATGTCATGTATTGTGTCTTCGTCTTTGGTAAAAATCAGGTCAAGTGTACTCGGGTCCTGTCCATCTCTGTATCTAGTGTTGCAGTGAATGTGCTGATACAGAAATAAGTCTCTGACACAGGTTAGGAATGTGTGACTTCCTCTCAAGTTACTGCCATTCACCGTGTCGTTATCCCAGTTGATTTCCTTGTAATTGAAGTCACCCACTGCAACATAATGTGTGTATCTCCTTTCACATGACCTCTTGAGTAGGTTACATAAGTTATCATTGTTTTCACTTACACTGGACGGGCTCCTATAGATACATCCAATAAGAAGAGAGGATTCCCCTATCGTTATCTCGACCCAAACAGATTCATCAAAGTTTTCATCTAGGTCCACCAATGATCCTGCTATACCATTTTTCAAATACATGATAACTCCTCTCCCATTCTGTTTACATCTCTCTGGTAGAAACATCTGGTACCCATCAAGGTTCAATTCGCATGGTTGAATTCGTTCAGGCGAGTTTTTTGGGTAAACCTCAGTCAGCGCAATAATATCTGGATTGGTGTT